TTCCTCCCTCCCCTTCTCTCATTTGTGTCCTTGATCCCCGATCCCAGCAGCATTCACCGAAGGCGAAGAAAGCTGCCATTTTTTTAAATTTTTTTTATTTGCGGCCCGGTACAGAGTGCTCCACGGACCGGGACCGGTCCGCAGCCCGGTGGTTGAGGAACCCTGGCCTAGAGGATCATTGGTTGCCCTCTCCCCTCTTTGGAAGAGCTTTATAGCTCCCGCTGCCTTAAGAAAGTTCAAAACATTCTTAAAGATCCATCTCATCCTGGGAACCCTTTTTTTGAACTATTACCATCTGGCAGACGGTACAGAATAATAAAAACAAGCATAAATAGGCTGAAAAAATCTTTTAACCCAAAGGAGTAGCTCTTTTGAATTCTGCTGTATAGTGCAGTGTTGGGGATTTTCTGTTCAATGTGTGGAGGGTGAAGGATGTGTGTTTGTGTTTATTTTCATGGTCCTAATGTGCACTGAAGATGGTGTTTGATTTCATTGTACAAGGTGCAATGACAATAAAGTAAACTAAACTATTTCAAGTTTTTTGAAGTACAGGTAGTCCTCGACTTACCACCACAATTGAGCCCAAAATTTCTGTGGTTAAGAGAAACATTTGTTAATGTTTTGCCCCATTTTATGACCTTTCTTGCCACATTTGTTAAGTAAATTATTGCAGTTGATAATTTAGTAACATGGTTGTTAAGTGAATCTGGCTTCCCCATTGATTTTGCTTCTCAAAAGGTTGCAAAAGGTGATCACATGACCTTGGGACACAGCAATGGTCATAAATATGAACCAATTGCCAAGCATCTGACTTTTGATCACATGATCATAGGCATGTTTCCAAGATTGTAAGTGTGAAAAATAGTCATGTCACTTTTTCATTGCTGTTGTAACTTTGAACAGTCACAAAATGAACTGTTGTAAGTCGAAGACTACCTGTATTCTCCTATTAAATTGTTCATATAAGTATTTCTATATTATTTGGATTATAAATTTACTGGAAAGAAGATGGAGAATTCAATTGTTAAAATGTATCATATGTTTCCTTTTCACTTATTATATTTTATTTAATACAGAGGCACAAGTTCTTGGTCAAGTAATTTCCATTGCAGCATCTGCGGTCACTACAGTAATCTCAGTTACATGTTATGAATCAAGTAATGAAGATCATCCATTACAAACTTCAGGTGACTTTAATTCCAATGATTGTAAAAATATTCAAATATTTTAATTAATCGGCTTGTATGGCTTGCTTATATTGATTTGTGCACTTTAATTTGATTTCTACATTTTTCTTTTTGGTCTAAAAGTTGATTGATTTAAAACAGTTGCTGAAATTAAATTAATTTAGGAGGTATTTTATCAACCCTAATGGTGAAGCCTTAAGAAAAATTAAATAGCATTAAAGATGTTTAAAAAAACTGAAATGCATAGTGTAGATTACAAAACACTCTTCAATTCTGAGTTTGTCTGGCCTAATTTAGGAAGTGAGAAAAAACTGTTAGTTGCCTGCTCATTTTTATATCTGTCATTTTCGTTACAATTTGGCAACAGTAACTTAATCACTTATCCCTTCTCACTATCCTTCTCACTAACCTTACCAATGTTCTACCTGTGCTGCCTTTAGAATGTATTTGAAAACTGCAGTTGATTCAAAATGTATCCAGGTATTCCTGATGTTGGATGTACACAATGCAGCAAGAGCCAGCATTGTGCTGCAGTTGTTAAAATAACCAATGCAGAGGTGGTATTCAGCAGGTTCTGACCAGTTCTGGAGAACCGGTAGCAGAAATTTTGAGTAGTTCGGAGAACTGGCAAATATTACCTCTGACTGGAGATTTTACAGTATCCTTCCCCTGCCACGCCCACCAAGCCATGCCCACCAAGCCACGCCCACAAGAACCCGTAGCAAAAAAAAATTGAATCCCACCACTGAACCAGTGCAATACTAGGCTGCATCAACAGGATAGAGATTTTGATTGAGATCAGAAGAAATGTAATTCTGGTCCAAGTTGTATTGGTCAGAGTCAGACTGTACTTGGAATACAATTTTATTGCCACCTCACAACAAAAATGCTGAGGAACTAGAAAAAGTACAGAGAAGAGCAACAAAGATGGTAAGGAGCTTGGAGGCTAAATAGTATGAAGAGCTGTTAAAAGAACTGATTATGTTTAGCCTGAAGAGAAAGCTAAAAAGAGACATGAGCAGCCTTTTAATACTTGAAGGCTTATCATAGGAAAGAGGGTATGAATTTCTTTTTTGTAGTGTCCAAAGGTTAATCAAGAACTGATGGGTGGAAGCTTTACAGAAAGAGATAAAGAATAATTTCCTAACTACAATATTTCATTCATAATAGCTATTACGAATGAAACAGTCTGCTTCCTGAAGTTGTGGTTGTTTCATTCCTAGGCCCTTTGAAGCAAAGTTTGGTGAGCCATTCGTTGTTATGGTCTTAGAGCAGAGGACTATGATTCCATGATTTTAATTTTCTGTGTGCCTGATACAGAGACATTTGAAATGTTAAACACCTCTTACTGGCATCTCTATTACAATGTCTTTTCAAATTCTTGAGTTCCCATTCTGGCTGTTTGTTTTTCCTTTTATGTTCTCTGTTTTTACCTCCCTCCATCTTTTGCTTTAGCTTAGAGCCTTCAGATGAGACTGATGAGGCAGCTTATTGAAGGGTTGTTTTTTTTTTTTGAACTACCAATAACCATTTGACAAAGACTCAATGGAAACAAAGCACTGGAAACTGAATGGGTTTTTATATCAATCCCGAGAGGTCATATTCTTAACATATTCTGTTGTTTTCTGTTTATTTATTTTAAAGCCTGCTCCAAACTCTTTCATCAAATATTCTATATTAGTTTTCAGGTCTTGCAAAAATATAACTAAATTATCAGCAAATGCTCTCAATTTATACATTTTCTTTTTGATATTTATACCTGTTATTTTCTCATCTTGCCTAATATCTCTATTTAAAATTTCCAAAACCAATATAAACAGCAGGGAAGATAAGGGGCATCCTTGTCTTGTACCCTTTTGAATTTTACATGATTTGGTTAAATCTCCATTCATAATAAACTTAGCTTGCTCTGTTGTATAAACTGCTTTGATCCCTTGAATAAATTTCTCCCCAAAGTCTATATCTTCCAAAACTTTAAACATAAAAATCCATTTTAAGTTGTTAAAGGCGTTGTCTGCATCCAAAAATAATATCCCAAAAGCTGACTATTTCTCACTGTGATATTGTAGGTATTCAATAATGTTCAAAATAGTTCTCACATTGTCTCTTAACTGTCTTTTTGGCAAAAACCAAATCGATTTTCATGAATATGAAACCTTCTTCAATCTTTCCGCTAAAGTTGCACAAAAATTATAGTTATTATTTAATAATGAAATTGGTCTATATATTTTTTTATTCCCAAGACAGCTTGACCCTTCTTTGGTAATAATGCAATATTAGCTTCTTTCCAGATCTGAGGCATCTTTGCTCCCTGTAATACTCTATTCATTGTATCCTTTAGTGTAGGGGCCCCCAACCTTTTGTGCACCAGAGACTAGGTCTGTGTAGAGGAGTTTTCCCACAGACCAGAGGGGTGTGGTTTTGTGTGCTGCCTGCATCTCATGGATGGGGCTTCTTCGCTTGTTTGCACAGCCCAGTTGCTGGCGTGCTGCAGAGCAGTGCTGGTATGCAGGAATTGAGGACACTTTCTTTAGTGGCTGAAGGAGCTGATCTTCAAAGCATTTATAATATTGGCTTGTAAGACTATCTGGACCTTTACCTATTTTTTTTCTTTATATTTTCAGCTTTTCCTGGGTATCATGACTCTTTTCTTCTTCTCAGTCTTTGATGTATATGAGGGAAATGGCGAGATGTTTACCTCACACAAGGTCTAGGGAAATAAACTCCTCTCTTTCCCAGAAGTTTTTTTGGCAAGTTTTCAGAAGTAGCTTATAATTGCCTGCTTCCTTGGGCAGAAAGAGAGTGATTGATTCAACATCAACCAGTGGGTTTGTACCTAATATGGGACTAGAAATCATTGTCTTCTGGTTTCCATCTTGTTGCCTTAACTACTACAAGTAGTCCTTGATTTATGACCATTTTATGACCATTCAAAATTGAAAAATGTGACTTACAACTGGTCCTCCTGCTTATGATCATTGCAGTATCGCTGCAGTCATGAGATAAAAAATCAGACACTTGGCAAGTACTTGAAGCTTCCTAGATTTTATATAAAATCATCATCTGTGATTTTCGCAATGGACTTTCAACAATCAAAGTCAATGGGAAAACCAGATTGGCTTAACGATTATGTGATTCATTTAATGACATAGCAAAAAGGATAGCAAAATTGGGCACCACTCCGTTAATGATTTTGTCATGTTCCAGTCTAATTGGGTCATAAGTTGAGCATTACTTGTAACCAAGCTGGTTCTCTGTTATAACAATAGAAGTGTTTTATGTTCAATGATGCTCTTAACTTCTTCAAGTTAAGCCTGCTGATCCAATAATAAATATTGATTGTTGTAATTATGATTTTTTTTCTAGAAATTGTAGAAAGTGGCGATCCCTTATCAGGATCATCCAGTGAGAAGAGCAGGCAGAGACCTGAGATTGCAGCATTTCCTAAAAAGAAGAAAGCCAGTGACATCTACTTTGTTCTGCTTGTATGGAGCATTGTAATAGTCCAGATCTGGTTTAATTTCTGGATAATTCAATTGCTGCCCTTACCTTTTGCAGGTTATTCATTTTTTACATTGTGATTTACATTTTGATTGGGCAGATAACTAAATACTGTCTTTGAGATGGCAACTCCAGTCCAATTTTGTGCAGATTTATTTATCCTTAGAACTCAGCCCAGTCTTGAAGGACTGTTAGTATATTACAGCAATAGAAAAAATACACAATCGTAAATCTAATCAAAGCCAGCCCAATTCGCAGAAACATACTGCCCTGTTTTGCCTAATAGATGGTCCTATATTTAACTAATACTAAGATATAAAATATTTTCTCTGTCTAGATATTTACTATGGCGCCTCAACTGGTATGGAGACAGGGGGACACAAAATACATCTAGCATGTTTATTATATTTTCAGATGATATATTTAGATAAACTCTTAGTGAGGCAATACATTTATCAGAAGACATGCTACGTTTTTTTAAAGTGCAGGGATAAGAACGGGAAGCAGAGCCCAGTCTAAACCCTATTTTTACTCATTCTGATTTATTATAAGCGTAATTAATAGCACAGTTAATTAATTTAATTAGATGTGTTATTTATCAGATTGTGACCACAACCTAGTATGTTGTATGAAGAGAGTTACTAAATGAAATTACACTCTCCCTTACTCTCTATTCTAAAGAGTAATGCCTCCCCTTACCTACCCTTTCTGTAAAGTTTGCATCCATGTAGTGTTTATATTACACTAATTCTGCCACTTCCACCAAGATTTAATCAATATCTACTACATTGCATTTTCATTTAAACCAACTATCTTGATTCAAAACCTTTCTACCACTGGCATAGAAACAGTTACAAAAATGTTTCTCTTAATGGTACAAATCCTTCTCATACCTTTTTGATCCTTTTATAACCCTTTTATAGGAAAATTTCAACTCAACTGGTAATTTACCTTCCTTATATGCTTAATGTTACATTCTAATTCCTAGGAGTTCAATAATATTTACTCATTATATTCACCAGTTAGAATTAAATCTGGGTTGCCTTATCTCCTTGATTCTAAGACCAAAGATCAGTGTTCGAAGGCATACATCTGTCTCCTTGTGAACTTAACAGCTTTTTAGATATTTGCAAACCACTGTCATATTTTCATTTGATTTTCTTTTTGCAAATTATATTTGTCTAGTTTTTTCAAGCATTTCTCACCCTGTTTAGTTTTCATACTTCTTATTCTTGAATCTGAGTGATAAATCTGCTGCAGGGTTTTTTGTGTTTTTAAAAGCTAACAGGTAGTCTTGAATTTATGACCATTTGTTCAGCAATGATTCAGAGTTATTGAGGTGCTGGCCTTTGCACTGTGACTTTTTGTAACTCCAGAGTCACAGCACAACACAAAGCTCAGTCGCAGGCTGGCTGTCCCAGCAGCAAAAGGCATGCTGCTCAGCAGCAGCAGGAGCAAGAAGATGGTAAGATCAGATGAGGTGTAGCAGATGAAAAGTCCCAGAATATAGAATTAAGAGAGAGAAGGCAGATGGGACTGGGTTGAAATGGACTGGTTCCCGGACTGTAGCAAGTGACTCTCAGAGTCGTGCAGTTCTTGGGCTGTTTGCTACAGGAAAGCCAAACAAGCAGACAAATGATGGAGATAAGAACCAATTTGAGGCAGTCCCAACACTTACTGAGTCTTGGGGCTTAGAATACTAACCCAAAATGGCTTGGAAATGTCATTAAACAATGTGATCACGTGATGTCGCTGTCAGGTCAGCTTCAGGGTTGACAGTCGCCCTTAGTGATAGAAATTATAATGCCCATTATGGTTGTCAGTTGTGGACTATCAATACTTCTGAGTGTTGTCTAGCTAGGACCTCTTATATCTCATAATCTGGAATCAGACTTCTGTTCATGCAACCATTTTCATCTTATTATTCATAAGCACCTTCTCACATGTTTGCTTACTGATATCTTATGCTTTTTAATGTTTTGTATGCTTAAGGGGGAAAAACAATCATCTTGAAACCTCTGAAGCAAAACTTGTACATGAAGTAACATCTGCAATAGTGGTATCTTAATCCTAAATTCCAGTGATGTAGTTTGCATATGTATAAGAAAAAAGTTGACTATGTTTAATATTAACTGTGATCATTCAGAAGTAAACATTTTGAGGGCTGTTGATTCAGGCAGAAAAATTTGAATATGAGCTTAATTCAATTGAATATGAGCCCTAGCATGGTAGTTAGCCCTAGCATGGCAGTATTGCAGGCTAACTCTGTCCATAGCCTGGAGCTCAATCCTGATAGGGCTCAGTGTTGACTCAGCATTCCTGTCTCCTGAGGTCAGTAAAAAGAGGACCCATATTTGGAGGGATAATATGCTGACATTGTAAACCACCCGAGGGTGCTGTAAAGCACTATGGGGCAGTATATACATTTAAGTGCTATTTCTATTGCTATTCCTATTGAAACAAAGTGACTTTATGAACAAAAAGTATAGGTATTACATATGAAAATTACTTAATTCCTTTTTTATGTTTGCAGTGTGGGTTTTAAAAAAACTGTTGGTCCACTTTGGAATAGTGCAGTTCTCACTGATTTACTGCAGTAACTATTGGCATACTCTGGAAGATTTTGTGAGACAACGTCAAGAAGTTCTTGTACCCCAACCAGTTAAGGGTCTTGGAAGAATTATTCTCAAGTTAGACAGCAAGGTATTTAAAATTATTTGTAAAATTGCTCTAGTTCAAATATTTTTTAAGAAATACGCACCCTGTATTTTGCCACAACATTTTTCTATTAAAAATAATAAAAGATACTGGTGGGGCTTCAGATTATAAGTAGCACAACTTTTCCAATGTTGTTTTCAGGGTTTTATTATAGTTAATAACTGGGATTATGACATTAAAAATGAAGCACTCTTTCATAGGAAAGAGACAGAAACAATATTCATCTATTCTCTTGCACTACTTGAAATCAGTTCTGTAAGGTTGGAGAAGCTACTCATATAGTTTTGGAAAAAGTTTGAGGGAACCATAGAAAGAAGTTTATTACATTTTCTTGCTTCTTACAGCTGATCGTGTGGTTGGAAGAAATCCTAGATAAAATCATTAGCATATTCATTATATTTGTGCTAGTGATAGGCACCCTGCTGCTTGCGTTACTCCTTACAGCAAAGGTATGTGTCCTATTAAATAATACAGTATTTTTACTGAAACTTCATTCATTCTAATCTGCAGATTTCATTAATGGCCAGTGTTTTATTTCTTCTCAAAATTGATATAATCAACGTATATTCTAATAATCACACTAAACAAGGATTGTGATTGAAAGAGAAAAGTATTTTACTTTCCCTCAGATTAGATAAATTTGTTTTTCTAGGAAAAAGGCAGAGGTATGCACAAAGTAGGAAAACAACCCTATTCCAACCAGGTTATTCATATGTCAGGATGATAATTCAAATTGTGATGTATTTAACTTTGCGATAAGCCTGCTATATATCTATTATACTACCATGCCCTCTAATGTAAAGATAGATAGATGAATATTGACAAAGCATAAAATGTATTTTTCTTTCCTTTTTTTTCTTTGAAATAAGGAAGGAATAAAGACAATAACATGCCATCACATATATCATTGTGGTTGTAGAGTATTTTCTTATAAGAAAACAAATGCAAAATATATGCAGTCTGTAAAAATGAAAACACTTTGATTTTTATTATGTCTTTTAAATTTTATTATGTCTATTGATGAATAATTTATCAGAGTATTAGGCTTGGGACAAGAAGCAGCCAGCCAATGGGGTCTGGTAGCAGCAAGTAGTTGGCGGAAGTTCACTATTACGTCAGGTGCGTGCTGGGTAACTGGCAGTGGTGGTGTGCAGAAACTATCATGGGCAGCTGGGGGGCTCCTGAGAACTGTTGATGATGGCAGCAGCATGCAGAAGGTGATCTCAGGGATGCGGGAGTGCTGAGCAACTGGTGGTAGCGGTGTGCAGAAGTTATTGCAGGAGGGCACCAGGTAACTGGCAGTGGTGGCATGCAGAAATGATCATGGGTGGGTGGGGCGGCTAACAACTGGCAGCAGGGGTGGTGGCATGCAGAAGTGATTACAGGGGTATGGAGGTGCACCAAGCAATTGGTGACGATGATGTGGCATTGTGCAGAAGTGTTTGCAAGGGGGCAGGGGCTACTGGGTAACTTGTGGAGGGTGGTGCCATCAGACATGCAGAAACAATCACAGGGCACCAGGCAACTGGCAGCAGTGGTGGTGACATGCAGAAATGATTGCAGGGGAGCGGGGAAGCTCCAGGCAATTGCTGGCAGCGGCATGCAGTGATTGCAGGGAAGTGTGTGCAAGGGAGCAGGGGCTACCAGGTAACTTGTGGCAAGGGTGGGGCCACCGGACATGCAGAAACAATCACAGGGCACCAGGCAATTAGCAGCAGTGGAAATGGCATGCAGAAGTGATCACAGGGGGGTCAGGGGATCCAGGCAAGCAGCAGAGGCTTTTGAGCAATAATTACAGGTTGGACACTTTAGATTTCAGCTTTGACCTTGCGCTATGCGTCCTTTCACAGAAGTATGAAATCTCAATGGCAGGGACAGGACAGGAGCAAAGAGGTCCCTTACCTGCTGTAGCTCTCTGGTTCGAGATCAACTCCACGGGTCTATTTCCAGGCAGCTCTTCTGTACCCAGGAAAGTTTACCCAGGATATTTCTCTAGTCTAGCAGGACAAGCGGCTGTGAGGAGGAAGGGATATGTTTGCCTCCCCTCCCACCTTTTGCTCAGTGCCCTCCATGTGATCACGTCTGCATGCCATCACTGTCAGTTGGCCAGCTCATTCCTGCCCCTCTGCGATTGCTTCTGCACGCTGTCACCACAGCCACCAGTTGCCTGGCACCCTCCACGATCACTTCTCCAAGCCATCTCTGTCACTTGCCCAGTGCCTCCTGCAAGAGCACCGTAATGGCATGCTTCCCCCCAAGCTGATTGCTTGCTGCCACCTGCCACCATTGGCTGGTGGCTTCTTGTCCTGTGCAGCCTATGGCTCAATTCAAATGGTGTCTGGGTGAAAAGATGAGGGGCGGAGGGCCAGGGGTCATTGGCCAGGGAAAAATAGCCAGGGGAGGGACAGTGAAGGAAGAAATCTGGCTTTAAATCAGCTGAGACGAATGGCTGGGGCCACAGGTTGGTGCCTAAATGTCTCATTCTGCTGACAGGGACAAGCCACTCAAATATAGTAAACTCCATTCTTTACTAGCACTGATGATGTTACCTAGTTTGGATAATGAAACATCTCCATGAAAACAACTAAGTTCAGAGCACCAAGAACCCCTCATTTCAACCCTGAGCTACAGATATTATCCTTTATTGATAATGTATAAGTTATCCCTTCCCTTTATGCATATGATATCACAATACACACAAGACATTCAAAAAGTTTCAGAGCAAAGGAGAATGATTTTGAGTGTAAACACTTCCATTGAAATACTCTTGCTTCTTCTGATTGAGAAAGTCAATTCTATGTGTCCTGCCATATTATAACTCTCTATTATTCAAACAAAACTTCATCTGTTTTCTTTGCTTCATCTTTACGTCCTGGAGAATCAGATGTGGGTTAATATAAGTTCAACTTGCTTCTTATTCAATATGCAATTTTTGAGCCATGCAACTTTTACTTAAAACTGCACATTTTGTCTATGGTTCCACGTGAACTTTAATCACGAAGTCACCAGTTAAGCTTTTGCTTTCTTGACAAGTAGTTTCAGAAAGTTTTTGTTGGAGGATTTGATTTTGAATATTAAGACTTTGAAATTATTTTTTCAATGCAATAAATCCTTCTATGAATGTTGGATAGTGAATGTTGCATTATCTGGAGACAGCGGAATAGAAGATAAAAGATCCAGAGAAAATAACAAAATACAAAAAACTGCAATAAAACTGGAACATTTGTGGCAAATAAAGCAAAGGTAGTACAAGTAGTAATAGATGCAGTTCCAAAATATCTGGAGCACTATTTGAACACTATCTGCATTGACAAAATCATAATCAGCCAATTGCAAAAGGCATCAGTTGAATTCAGGCAATTGAAACAGCATATGTTCTGCAACAATACCTTTAACATTAGGAAACAACTATTGCCTATCACAAGTCCTTGGGAAGGACTCGATGGGTGGATAAAAATGCCAAATCCTGTCTAAACATCTTCATGTCTATTTATTTTATTTATTTATTTATTTATTTGATTTGCCAATTGTTTACAAGATAATAAGTATAAGTGTATACATAGTTGTGAATACATGAAATGGGTACATATAAGAAAAATAAAAGAATAAGAGAAACAATAGGACAGGGACGGTAGGCACGATGGTGCGCTTATGCACGCCCCCTACAGACCTCTTAGGAAAGGGGTGAGGTCAATAGTAGACAGTCTAAGGCAGGGGTGGGCAAACTTTTTGTCTTGGGGGCCGCATTGACTTTTAAAATTTGACAGACGGGCCGGGTCAGCACAAGGTTTTTTGGGAATCGCCCCACCCCACCCTTCCCCCCCCTCTTCTCCTCCTTCCCCTCCCCTTGGAGGCCCCCTGAGTCAGGAGTTACTACCGCCGGCGTGGCTCCGGTCCCGCGTTGCCTGGGGAAGGGAAAGGCAAAAGGGAAGAGCCACAGCGGTGCTTTGCAACGGGAGCAGCGGCACTGGAGGCTCAGGCTCAGCGGCTCCTGGTTTTGCTTTTTCCTTCCCAAGGCAACGCGGGACTGGAGCCGCGCAGAGCTGCGCCGGCGGTAGCAACTCCTGACAGCCCCAGCCGGACACCTGAGCGGAGCCCGGGCGGAACTGCCTGTTGCTGCTGCCGGAGCACCGCCGGGTCACCTCCTCCAAGCAGCCCGCCCGCCGGGCTTCCCCTCCGCTGCATGGCTCGGGGCCAGGCCCGAGCGCCCGCGAGTTAAAAGGAAGCCGGAAGTTGCTGGGAAGTTGCTCGGGTGCTGGGAGCAGGCTTTTAAAGTGCCGCCCGAGCAAAGTTTAAGCAGCCCGCCCGCCGGGCGGAACACTTCCCGCTCCTCGACGGGAAGACGCTCCAGCCTGCAAACTTGGAAGTTTTGGAAGACGCTCCAGCCTGCAAACCAGCCTGGAAGCCCCGGAAAAAAAAGGGGGATCGGCGGGGACTCACCTTCGGAGAGGTCGCATTCGAAGGTGATTTCGAACTCCCAGCCGAGGCCTTTGCAAAGTTCTTTTCTTTCCTACCCCGAGAGCGCTCCGCACTGTTTTGCAGCTTTGGGGGCCATGCGACACAGGGCAATACGCCACGCCCAGTGATTTGTTTTCAGGGGCGGGCCGGATTGGACAGACCAACGGGCCGGATGTGGCCCGCGGGCCGTAGTTTGCCCACCCCTGGTCTAAGGTTAAAGTTTTTGGGGTTTGGGGAAGAGACTATAGAGTCGGGTAGAGTATTCCAGACATTGACCACTCTATTGCTGAAGTCGTATTTCCTGCAATCAAGTTTGGTGCGGTTTACTTTGAGTTTGTATCTATTGTGTGCTATGTCTATGCAACCAACCATCATAGTAATAATATTCTAAGCTTTGGATGACACTTAGGAAATCTGTGCATCGACAAATGTTCCAGTTGTCAGCTACAAAAGCTGTTTGGATCCACACATATATTATGCAAATACATTGCAACATACTAGGTTCTTGAGAGAGCTCTGTCTTACATATTGGCAAAAAAATCAGAAAATAAAATACAAGCTGAATAGTCAAGACCTTGTTGATGATCCAAACTCTGTCAAGAACCTTGGAATACTCATCTCTAATGACCTAAGTGCTAGAGCCCACTGTAACTACATAGCCAAAAAGGCATTAAGAGTTGTTAACCTAATCCTACGTAGCTTTTTCTCTGGTAATACCGTGTTTCTCATATAATAAGGCTGGGTCTTATTTTTTTTTGAGGCCCGAAAAAATGGCTAGGCTGTCTTTTCGGGGGTGACTTAATTCCCCCCCTTGCATCTTTGGGTGGGCGGCGACGGCTTGGATGTTGACCTCGGCGTTGGTGGGGCACTTCGTATCGGGGTCAACGCAGACAGCACCATATCCGGGTGTGCAACAAAAGTACTTCCTAACGGCAAGCCCCCCCCCCCCATTCCCCCCCATTTCGCATGTTTTAATATAGGCCTTAATTTGGGGGGAGGGGCTTAATTTCATTTCATGCCTATAAAACATGCTGGGACTTCCTATTGGGGGAGGCCGTATTGTTGGAGAAACAGGGTATCACACTGCTAACTAGAGCATACAAAACATTTGCTAGACCAATACTTGAATACAGCTCATCAGTCTGGAACCTACATTACGTATCTAATATTAACACAGTTGAGAACGTCCAGAAATATTTCACAAGAAGAGTTCTCCACTCCCCTACTCGTTGCAGAATATCTTATGCCACCAGACTCGAAATTCTAGACCTAGAAAACCTAGAACTACGCTGCCTTCGGTCCGATCTAAATATAGTACATAAAATCATGCTTATTGCAGGTGTGCAATAAGCGCACCAACTTGCCTACCATCCCTGTCCTATTGTTTCTTTTTATTTTTATCCATTTCATGTATTCATAACTATGTTCATATTATCTTGTAAGTGATTGACAAATCAAATAAATAAATAAAATAAATAAAACAGTTTGGTGATGCAATTAATGCATCAGGCTAGAAATCTAGAGGCTCTGAGTTCTAGTCCTGGCTTAGGCACAAAGACATCTTTGGTAACCTTGGGGCAGTAACTCTTTGCCCTAGGAAAGAAGCAGTGGCAAACCACTTCTAAAGAACCTTGTTATGAAAACTACAGGGATTTGTCCAATCAGTCTCCAAAATCTGATATGATTGAACAGAAGGGAAAAAAAAGTTGTTAAGATAAACTTGATGCAAATGACTGCTAACAATAGCTAAAGAACTGGCAACCATGATTTCAAGTTTTTGTGTATGGAGTAATAAGAATCGATAAATCATAAAATAATTCAAAGTGCATGTAGACATTCTCAGATTGCACAAACTGATTATAAACAATGACATAATTGCCAAAACAATGTACTGGAATATCTATAAAAATTATGATATGCCAGTAATGAAAAAATTGATGAGAATGCATAGCTGAACTACCAAGTTTTCATCAATCTTAGAGTGTGAATCTAATTACAGATTACTCTGATACATATATGATACATATGATGATACATATTTATATTACATATAATAATCAAACTATTAATTTCTTTCCTTTTAAGGCAGAGAAATACTAATATTTTGCCACTCTTATCCCCGCAAAGTAATGTCTAGTATTGGTTTTTACCAGTGTCCAACTAGACTTATTTTCCATCTTCCTCTAGTTGCATTCTAGGATCTTTTCTGATACTTCATCTCCCTAATTCCTTCAGCAATGCAAGGCTCATTCTGGGACCATTACCCAGGGAAATGTCACCTAGGAGTGATACAATATAAGGCCAAACCATCCACCAGATCTTCAAGGAAAATCCCAATCGTTTTCTGGAATCCCACTAATTTCATCAATTACCTGTGGCAGGCCCATCTCAATGCAGGGAGGGTGAGGGAGTCAAAAAGCAATTAGATAGTGATAAATCTATAGTGTTGGACTAATGTTGATATATTACATTGTCAGATCAGATCTCAATCACCCAAGACAAAGAACAGATTTCATGTGCAGCCTCTGATATGTATACAGCTGTCAATAAATTGTGAAGGGTCCATGATTGCAGGGCAGGTCATGAACACTTGAAGCACCACAGACTTAGTCCCCAGGTGGCAGATTAAAATCCACAAGGAGCAATGGTCTTGGGAACTCTATTTCAGCCCAGCAACAGAATCTAGCAGTTCAGGTAGGGATGCAGAAAGAATGGTATACTATCAGCAGTCCCAACTATTATCTTAATCTAGAGCACCAGTTATCTGCAGAGCAGAGTTCTTGAAAGCCTGTAACAACTCATAGATTATAGCAGCAACCTGGACTTCTGGTTTGAAGGGCTTTGGCAACAGACAGAAATCCGCGATCGTGTGCGGTTTCTGTCTGGGCTTGCCTCTGGAGCGCCCCGAGCCGGCTGGTTTCGGGGCTAAGCCACCCCGTAGAGGTGGTGAAGAGGGGGGAGACCGCTAGCAGGGTCGAGGAGAGCCGCATCTCTCCTCAGCTGGCCATTACTCCCTTTCCCGAAGGCACAAAGAAGAACTTGACCAGAAAAGAATGTGCAGGAGGAAGATAAGAAGTGAAAGTTTTTGCTGACTGGGTTAAATTGTAAAAGCAACAACCAAGGTACCCTGGAATTTAAACTTACAAAAACTAACATCGCTCCCAAAGAAGAGTCGGAAGCAGCGAAGGAAAGTGAAAAGGGAAAGGTTTGGCTTTTTTTTTCTTCTCTCTCCTTCCCTATACTGACAACTAAGAGACTTAAATAAGAAATCGGAAAAATCCACTTTGACATCAATAGGCAATTAAGCTGAAAATAAAACAAAATGCCAAAGGGATAATAAAGATTTTTGGACATTAAAAACTTTCTTTTTCATAAGCAGGAAGGGAGAGAAAAAGAATAAGGGCAGGATCTGGAAGAGGGAGGAGACTGCCTGGAATTAAAAAGAATCTACAGTAAAACTTCAACAAGACTTCTAAAAGATACATTTTAACTGAAACTTTGCAACTAAATAGTAACCCCAGGAAGAGAAAGTGAAAAAAAAAGAGCAAAAAAGAAACAGCTTGCGTGTATTTGGATTATTTGGTGATCTTTGGATTTTTGGTTATATTTGAATGACTAAAATCAATCGGGTGGTTGTTTAAAAATTTATACAATAGCACCATTTCTGGATGAATTGAAAATGGATATTAAAAAGTACAAAGAAGATGCACAAGAAGGGAAGGGTTCTTTTGGCTTCATTTTTCAATTCTTAGAAATGGAGATTTGGAACTATGAGAAACAACAAGAAAAGACTGCAAAACAAGAAGACTGGGACAAAGAAGAAGCCATCTTTAATGAACAAGTAATTTTATGTGGGGAAGAAAAAAGAAAGGGGGGAAAGAGAATGGAGAATTTAAGACTTAAAAAAACAACCAAAGAAAATAAAAATAATTAAAAAAATAAGTATAATACTGGAAAGCAACAGAAAAGGGGAATACAGAAGAGAGAAATAGATGTAGAGAGACAAGGGGGTAAAAAGGGGAGAGAAGAAGAGAGGGAAGAAGGAAAGGAAAAGAAGTTACAAAGGACCGGAGCAAGATATAGAGAAACAGGACCTATTTAGGGATAATGGGTGAAAATCTAATTGAAAAAGGGATTCTGTAAAGGTACATAAGATTGTATTGTTATATTTGTAATAGAAATAATGTTAGAAAATTGGAAACAACATATGATTAAAAAGTGGGATAAAATATTTAGTGTAATTTAGTGAAACTTTTGTGAACAAAATAAATGAAATAAAATAAATGAGAGAATTGAATTAGGAAGGAACGGGAACATTTTAATTACTCAATGTTTTATAAAATATAAGTGAAGTAGGGGGGAATTAACTATGGAAAGTTTATAAGTGTTCCCATAGAAGTATGATACTTATTTGAAAAGTAATGTGTAAAATGTTAAGATTTAAATGAATATTAATATTAATGATAGAATTGAATTGGTATGGATTGTTGTTTTAATTATACTATATATTTATAATTTTTTCTTCTTTCAAAATATAGTGTGTAGTTTTAGAATGTACCAAGCAGAATCCGAACGGAAGTTATGTATTATATTGAATGTTACAACTTTAGGGAAAAGATATAAAGGCGTCATACTCCAATCAGTAACTACAGGAGAAATTTTGTTTAATGAGAAAACATAATAGATAATTGAAATAGGGCAGACAAAAAATATAAATACAATGATTTGAATTGAGATGAGATAATTAAAATAAAATTGAGAAAATTAAAAGAGGGGAGAAGCTATGCAGAAAATGTAAAATAGTAATAAGATATGGAATAGAATATAAAAATGAGCATGAACCTGAATTTCTGTCTGTACGAAGAAATGTAACCCGGGATTATGCTGCTTTCAAAAAAGATGTTTTATTTGTATTTTTTTTTCTCTTTGTGAAAACTCAAATAAAATTTACAAAAAAAAAAAAAAAAAAGATTATAGCAACAACCTCTTTTCCATTTCCTGGGCTCTTGGCTGGTGGATACATTTCTAAGAGGGGTCCGCCGTGCCCCCCTCCTCCAAAGTAAGATCATGGGTAAGGAGCAGCTTTGCTCCACAGCAACTTGGCAATCAGAAACATCAATGGCAATTGACATCAATGTCCACTGTGGATCTAGTTGCCAGACCTGGAAGGTAGAAGCCAAGGACCAGATAGCAGAACTGCTTGTGACCTGTTCCCCCCCGCCCAGTGCTTTATTCATCTCCATGTTGGATTGCTGTAATTCATTTGATATGGGACTGCCTTTGAAAAAGAAATCAGAATCTAATCCAGAATAAGGGTTACACCAAACTATCAATCTTAATCTTAATCACAGAATAAATGTAAGATATATATTTAATGGTGTGATACATTCATTTTTTTTCTTCCCTCTGTATTGCATTAGGTTCATCAGGAAAGTGTACATATGATTGAAGTAACAAGCAGATTGATTAATGAAACTGTAGCCAATCACCCAGAATGGGCCAAGTAAGTAATGCCATAACTGATAGGATATGATTATTCTCTTCATTTTGATATTGATTATGATTGTGCTTGGGTATGGAAAATGTGAGAAAGACCCTGTAATTTATTTTTGGCTTATTGTTGAATTTTGAAAGCATCTGAAACTAATAAGATATTGGCTTTAATGAGAAGAATGTTGCTAGATTGAGAAATACATGTAAAAACTCACCACAATCCCCAAATCATTCTGGAAGCTTTTGATACTGCCTCAATATCAAATTATTATCTTACCACTTTGTTATATCAAGTTCAAAATTCATGTGCTTAGAATTCCTAATTATACAGGGATAATTTTCTATAAATTAAATTATTTAAATTCTTCCTTGAATCCTAAAACAGAAGGATTATTTCAGGTCAGATAATAATTCTAACTGATAAAGAATTCTGCTTTCATAGTAGTCAGTGATATGCCAACAGGCACTTTCAAGCTGATTTTTTTACAATTGCATTTTTGTATTTATATACCTAGAAGTCAAATCAATATAATACTTCACTGGAAGAAACCATTTTCTAGCATTTTATCCACTTTTTTGCACCATATAGCAGGGTGATTTGCAGCATATCTTACACATGAACACAGTACTTGTTTGCTCTTCCTTAAATCAGATGTTTTGTTCAGAAAATGCCAACAGATTTTGGCATTTGATCCACCCAGACATGATCAAGCCAGTTTTTTCTCATTAAATCTGTTTTGCTGTATATTGTTATATTTCATTTTCTGAACTGAAAAGTTCTATCTTTTCTCACAACCACATTGTTTCAGTCTTTTTATCATTTTGACTCTCCTTTCCTGTACTTTGACACCTCTGCAGTATCAATTTTGAGGCGCATACAGGACAGCTACATAGAATTTACAGAATATAAATTACTTTAGGAGTTCGTTATTTTTGTACTTTTAAAAAAAGTGGTTTAATTTTTGTGGAATTTGAATTGTTAGATAATAAAGCATTTTAATCTCCAGATATAAGGGCTACAATAGAAATGAACTAATAGAAAATACTCTAAATCTAAGTGGAATTGTACTTTTTGATTTATTTAAGCATTATGATATTTGCAGTTTCTAAATCTTTTCTGATTGTTCTCAAACATATATCACCTTTATGCTATAGCCTTATATTGAGTCAATCTTTTCCTGGAACTATTTAAACTACTCAGGATGCATGTGAGCAAACAACATTGTTTAACAAAGGTAATAGCTAAAATAAATGAGATGCTCTCAGCCAAGAGGTCTCTTTCAAAATATTCTGCCTCTACTTAAACATAACTAACCCATGCTTAATTAGTTTCTTAATTAGAATATTATAAGGTGCTATTTGAAATGTTTTACTGAAATCAAAGCATTTATATTATTTCCAGAGTCAATTACAAAGTTAACCAATCTAAAATTGAGAAAAATTATCCTGGAAATACAAATCATTGGTGACTTTACATTGTTTTCTAAGTATTTAAAGATGAATATTGTCCACTCTAAAATCTTCCTTGACAGAGAACCAAAATTCTTAAACACTATAAATTACATTGCACTGGAGCAATTTATGATTGATCTAACAAGGGAGTATTCAGGACTTATTAAGAGAAATGCATGTAGTCGACTTGAATGAGAATAGTGACCATAATAAAGTAAAATTCAACATTTAGAGACACAATAATCTATGAAAAGATTGGTGAAAAGGAAATTTAAAGTGATGGTCGTAAGGACATGCTCCCTCCATACTGTTTGGCTGTTGCTTATCAACATAACAGTAAAGGGTCAGATAGAATGTATTCCTGAAATTATGAAAATGACTTCATAGTCTAAAAACAGGCCTACATGGTTTATTAGCATTGTAAAGGAAGCTATTAAGGACATAAAAGTATTATTTAGAAAGTAGATTATTTGGAAAAAAATTCAAAGAAAGAGTGAATTTTAAAGAGAGAGTCAAAAAAATTTTTTGAGTATATTGCTAAAATTGAAGACAGATAATAAAACATTTTTCAACTACAAGCTAACCAGCCATTGGGTTCTTGGATGAAGAAATTGTCAAAGCAGAAAAGGAAATTGCATTTTCTCTTCCAGAATCCACATCTTTTTGCAAAAGAGAAAATTCCAGCAAAGCCAGCAGGGTCTAGGATAATTGGCCATAACCTATGGCCGTGGCCGCTCTGACTTCCTCACTACAGCCAACCCACTGAAGGTGTTCATCTTCAGCTGCCCCATCACTGGCAATTTGCCAAGGGACACTTGTGCCTGGCCAATTTGTTGGATGGGACAATTAACTGTGTGTCCCTGAAGCCAATCCACACAACAGGAGTGGATCATTGCCTTCCCATTGGATGCAATCCCACTTGCTTAGCTTCTTGAAATGCTTGAATTCCCTCTCCAGCATTTGAAGTGGGTTGCAGATGGAATGGAAGGAAAGACTTTTTTTGCCTTGTTGAAAAATTTCTCAGGGTTCTTGCCCGGTGTGGAGGTTGTGTGAGGTATAGGGGCGAGAGAAAATGTCGTGGGGAATTAAGGAGGGCTGCACACTCTTCAGCAAGAAATGGGTTTCAGTGGACTTCAATTATCTCCATTGAAACTCCATTGCAGCATCAAAGAAAGCTAACCCTAAAGGGTATTTTATTCCCCTCCCTCCCAGCAAGAGATTCTTGCTTTGCATTCACATGATATATGCTACCCAACAAAGGAGATTCCTTTGGCATTTGCACGATACACTGTAGTCTCAAAAAGATAAACTGGGCAGCAAATGGAGGACAGTGGGGCGGGGGTTCCACGACAAGCTGGTGAATTGCAAGACTCCAAGCCAGGATTGGACAGGCAGCTGGGATGGAGGAATGAGAGAAAGAAAGAAGGGTGTTTTTTCTTTTAAAGTTATTTTAATTTTAATTTTTTTTTAAAAAAAATTAAACATTTCTTTAAAAGATATTTTTAGATATTTTTTTGAAAAGATAGTTTTTAGGGTTCTTTAAAGATATTTAGATTTTTTTAAATGTTTTTAAAGATTTTTTTCAAAGGATTTTAAAATAAAAAGTCCTACTTGTGAGGAATTGTTGTAAGCACTTTATTGAGTCCTATTGCAACTTCGAACAGTCATCCAAGTAACTTCTTCGGTCAAAATGAAAATGAAAATTAACAATGTCAACAGCATATAAAGTAAACTTATATAAGATGTTTTACAGATGGTATCTTGTATTGGCAAGACTGGCAAAGATGTTCAAAGATAAATCAGCTAAGTGTTGGAAATGCCATCAGACAACCAGAACATATTATCACATGTGGTGGTCATGTGTAGAAGCCAAGAGATATTGGACAAAAGTACATACATGATTGGAAAAGATGATAAAGCAACATATAGACTTAAAATCTGAAATATTTTTGTTAGGGATGATACCTGAAAGTTATAGCAAACAAAAGATATATTTAATTATTCTTAATTGTAGCTAGAATAGTATTTGCTCAAAACAGGAAAAGTGAAAAGATTCCCATAAAAGAGAATGTGATCAAGAAAATATTAGAATGTGCAAAAATGAGTAGATTAACACTGCAATTAAAGAAAAAGAACACACTGAATATTGTATGATTTAGGAATTATTTTATCAGTGGTTGAAAAAAAATGGAAGAAATTAAATATATGAACATAGAATATATATAGATAGAACATATGTGAATATAGAGGGGAAGGAGTTAAGAAGGGGATGGTTATAATGATAAAATATATCATGTATAGTAGTTTAAAATAAGAATGTCATTATTGTTTTTATGGTAAGGAAGTTGTATCAATCATAAATGTTATTGCACAAGATATTTGTACCCAGACGACACACTGTTTAAAGGAAAGATGGCATGTTTGTAAAAATAAAATAAAAATTTAAAAAAAGAAAAGATATGAAGATGATTCCATTTTAATGCAGTAAGTAAAGAGAAACTAAAAAGCCTTTTGATGAGGGTGAAAGAGGAGAGTGCAAAAGTTGGCTTGAAACTCAACATTAAAAAACTAGGTCCCACCACTTCCTGGCAGAAGGGGAAGAAACGGAAACAGTGACAGATATTATTTACTTGGGCTCCAAGATCACTGCAGGCGGTGACTGTGGTCATGAAATTAAAAGACTTTTCTTTGCAGGTAAAGCTATGGCAAACCTAGACAGCATATTAAAAAGCAGATACATCACCTTGCCAACAATGATCCATGTAATCAAAGCTATGGCTTTCCCAGTAGTAATGTATGGTTGTGAGAACTGGATCATAAGGAAGACTGAAACCGAAGAATTGATGCTTTCAAACTGTGTGTTGGAGAAGACTCTTGAAAGTCTCTTGGATTGCAAGGAGATTAAATCAGTCAATCCTAAAAGAAATTAACTTTGATTTTTCTTTGGAAGCATAATAGTGAAGCTGAAACTCAAATACTTTGACCACCAAATGAGAAAAAAGGACTGATTGGAAAAGACCCTGATGTTGGGAAAGATAGAAGGCAAAAGGAAAAGAGGATGACAGCTAATGAGATGGTTAGATAGTGTCATTGACACAGTGGCCATGGGTTTGAGCAGACTCTGGAAGAGAGTGACAGACCGGGTCCTGATGTGTTATGGTCCATGGGGTCACAAAGAGTTAAACGCTACTTAGCAAGTGAACAACAAAAATAATGTTACAGGAGAACATACTGAATAAGGTTGAAATTGATGTAAATATAGATTTAAACATAACAAAGTTACAGAATTATCATTCTTGTAACTTGTCAAGTTTAAATCCACATTTACATCAATTTCAGTCTTATAAATGATACACTGGATATACAGATGAAACTAATTAATGTTTTAATACTTAAAAGAGACATGCAAATATCAAACGAAGAGTGATTTAGATAACTTTTTTAAAATTGAATTTATGAAAGAGATTTGTTCAAGATTTGAAAATTCACAGAGAAAAAGAAAGAAAGGAAGAAAGGAAGGAAGGAAGGAAGGAAGGAAGAAAGAAAGAAAGAAAGAAAGAAAGAAAGAAAGAAAGAAAGAAAG